GCGCTTAGATAGATCTAGAAACCACAAAAATACCTTACATTTCACGGCCAATGTTTAATCTATCACTTGATGTAAAAGTAAATCTTAAAAGCAAATTAATAAAGCTTGATCATATCCTAAACAATTTTCATTAAGTACATGTTCCTTTTTTACATTGAAAGTGAGGCTTATCAATATTCGAACAATTTAAAATAAAATAATTTGAACTTTATGTCACGCAGAAAGTCAATAATGTGCACTAGCGTAAGATATAGCGTTGCTCTGGGTCATAAATATAGATTACTAGTTAAATAAAACATATGTATCAAGTAGAATACCTTTTCACGTGGCTTTTACTTGATGGTACAGTGAGTGTTCTTTTGCGTTCTTCTATTCAGCCATAAGACTTGGTACGCGTATTAAGTAACAGAATGATTAAATTTTTTAAGTCATACGTCAAGGTCAAAAAACCAGCTGGAATTACCTGACCAATCGGCGCCGCCTATGGACACTGGCAATACTAAAGGAGTTACTACGTGTACTTACTAGTGCGTTGCCGGCCTCTCGTGGTTGATTAGGGATTTACGGATAGGGGATTTGAGCATCGAATGATTTGTTTAATCAATTGTGGCAGTTATTTAAATTTTCTATATCTGTTAATAAGTCATTGTTGTTGAATACACCCTGGTCTATTGCTAGGTATAAAAGTTATTTCTGTGAATGTTCTATGTTATGTGTGTTCGTACCTATTTCTTCGAGTGAAAAACACGTGAAGTTATATTCGATTGAGACAGTCTGTGGGAGTTAAACGAGAATGAGATTAACTATCATTTTATCAATGAATAAAAATACCTCATTAATCTCGTCTGGGGAACAAAAATATAACCACGAATCAATATCGTCTTGACAACGACGAATAGAGACATGATAGTCGGTATAGAAGGTATTTATTTATAATTTGGATGTGATTTTCCGTTTCCACGGATACTACCTATAAGCAATAAGAAAATCAGCAAGCCAGAGTGAGGCGAAGAGAATTCCCTAATAGGGCAATAATTAATGTTTACAACATAGTTACGCGGGTATTAACGCGGAAAATAATTACTTAAATAAGTACCTTGTTAGGCTTTAAAAAACCCTGTTACTTCTCCTGCTCTGGGCCGAAGCCGCGGCGACTCATTGCGCTTAACTCGCAATCCCGGCTGAACATCAGCTCTATAGGTCAGGAGCCAATAGACTACCCCGTCTGTAGTGGTCTATTGGCTATTTGAGACGCGCGCGAAACGCTACGCGCCTTACGCTTGAGTCTGGTTGTGGTCGGGCGGTGAGCTACCCTTACTCGCCGTCCGCAGACCCGCGCTTACGGTGGCCGGAGATCAGGTCTCGATCCCCGACGCCCGGAATGACGCCTACTGCGGCGGCTGAGGCGTGAGGAGGTTAGTTCTCTCACGCACTCCGCCTCCTCCTTTGCGAGCATCACTGCTTCGCAGAAAGAGGAGACGGCTTTCCAGTTTCTCTCGCTACGAACCAAACCTCGACTAAGGACGGGCGCGAGCTGTCGCCGCCCCCGATCACTTCCACGAGGACACGACGGCGCTCAGCCCAAGCAGGGCACACCGCCACCGTATGCTCCACCTTGTCCTCTAGGTGGTCCGCACAATGACGACACTCGGGCGTTTCCTCCCACTGGATCCGAAACAAGAACCTACCGAAGCTGCCGTGCCCGGTAAACACCTGCGTCAGGCGGAAGATGAGGACCTGTTAAATCTTTTGTCAAGTCATCCGATTGGTTGTTGATAATTCAGTCAACCAACCAGATGACTTGACAAGAGATTAAATTGATTTTAACATTGATCGGCCTTTCGGAAACCGGGTGTAAGTATATACTATGTTGTCAATATGAAACGCGACAGTTTAAGAGTAGTATAATAATTAATGCTGTGGCCAAAAAATATAAATTTTGATACAAATATATATTAGTTACTAGCTTCCGTCCGCAGCATCGCCCGCGTGGTATGTTGATAAAAAGTATCCAGTGTCCTATTCCGGAGTGAATCCTATGCCTGTGCCACATTTTATCCAGATTTGTCCAGCCGTTTTGTCGTGACTGAGTAACAAACAACCAGACATCGTAACTTTCGCATTTATAATATTAGTAAGATTACAAAAAAAATATTTACCCTTAGTAGTATTAGGTAAATATATATAAAAAGGAGCACAATTACATCGTAGTTACTGATCACGATAATATACCTAGTTACTATATAATATTATGTTTCATGGGTTTGTCGAAATTACTTCCGAAAACTATACAAATGCTCGTTAAACGCGATTCTTGAAAATAAACGAAACAAACAGATATCACGTCGTTAAAAGACGAGAAATGAGATCTAGTTAATAATAATCGTTGTTGAGTATAATACCCAGTACGAACCAGAACCAGATTTTGCGTATTGGAGGGGAGTAGTTCAAGTATATAACACTAGCTACTCTCGCGCGGTTTCACCCGCTGCCCGGCGCCATTTAAACGAAGCGTGATTTTTTATAGCTTATAATACTCAGGAATATTGTAACTATCTATCAGTGAAAGAATTTTGGAAATCCGACCAGTGGTTCCAAAGATTACCCTCTACATACAAACTTACAAACATACAAACTAACAAATTTTACCTCTTTATATTATTAAATAGTATAAATATAGATATCCTTTCACAAAACCACATCATCAACTAAGAGCTCACTGCTGAGCAAAGGTTCGAGCACTATTTAATCACCGTCCTTGTTCAAGGCGGATTGGCGATTTCAAACCTGTAATTAATAATTATAATCCCAGGTTTCCTCACGACATTTTCCTTCACCGTATGTCAGTGGTATCTAAATAATCATAGAAACTACCTACATATAGCTCGGAAAAAGTCACAATGCTACTTGCCAGGTTTCGAACCTGCACCCTCGTCAAATCCCAAGTCGAAATCAATAATGCTTGAAAAGCGGGCGCCCTAAACTCCGGTCCAGCACGACATCTCACATATTTCACTCATTATGTCACTTTTAACACAAATTCCTTTTCTTTTTCATAAGTAGTAATTCTCGAGCGCACGACGCGTAGCGTTCCACGCGCTCCTCAAAGAACCAAAAGACCACAGATGAGACCCAACGGGACCGATGTTCCGGGGCCGGGGTTGCGGGGCCAGCGCAATAAGAAACCGTGGTGTCAGCCTGGAGTAGGAGAAGGAACGGGGTGGTTAGTCAGTAAGAGTAGTCAGTAAGAGTCAGTATTAGTCAGTAAGAGTCTAGCTCTCCCTCTCACCTCGAATAAGATAAAACACAACCCGCGAATCAACCCAAGCGCAAAATAGTTCATGGTTCAAGAAGGTTGCTATATTTATATACCTGGCCCTTTTTATAGCCGGCATTTAGATATTAAAAAACACTGGTGCATCATCTCAAATACGAGTACCAGTAGGAGTTCCGAAGAAGCCAATAAGCTTTTGCAAAGTTTGTAGATGAAAATAATTGTTTAACTTCTTATTGTAGAATAAATTTAATTATAGTAACCCTTGAAGCACTCGTGTCCGCAAATAGACCGCCTCTATATTTAGCATTTTTGTTTTTTCAAGTTCCCAGGGTAGCACTTAGATGACATGTTATAAGTCCAACTATAGCCTTCTTTCTAATCTGTGAGTACTATAGTGTTTAAGAATGGATAATGTTCGTATGATCTCACACGGGATGGTGCGATTTTGAATACTAGCAAGTGCCAATGCCTCTTTTATCGAGTTAACGTATATGCTTTCTAAGATTACCTAGCCATCAATGGCGTAAGGTCATAGAAAATAAGGTTAGATTACATGGACTCAAAATCTCTAATTAAAAGTTAAGTTTATTATATACCGAAATTGCTAATCCTCCTTGCGCAAGTGTGGTTAATGCAAACATTTAGATACTTGCAAAAAAAAATATTAAGTAGTTAAAGAATATTTCAGAAAAGTAGTTAAAAAATATTTCAGGTTTGCAAACATTATAGGTATCAGTCTATCAAAGCCGTAACCTGATTAAATAACCAAATTGCTTCGCGTCTTAGCCTAGATCGGGCCAGCGGGCACCGACCCTCGATCTCATTCACAATATGCACGCTATTAAATGTGACTTCATGTTGTTATCGTTACAGGAAATATTTACCTACATTACGAGGAAACAGTTACTGTGTTTAGATAGTTATAGGTCCCCTTACAAAACCAACAAATAATTATGTAAGTATATATTATAGAGCATTCACCCATTGCCCAAATGAATTGATAGTAACTAATGCCTTTGATGTATAAATATAGAGAATAATTACCTAGTAGAATAGCAGTTGAAAGACTGCTGCTGTTGTACCGTTATCATACGTCGGATTGAATAAAATTGACATTAAAAACACGAAGACTTATTAATATTTAGCTACTCTGCATCATCATGGAAGTACTTTATGATGTTTGTCTTCAGATGCTAATCATCACGTCTTTACAGAAACGCCATAAAAATGACAATGAGCCTGACAAGAACATTTTATACCTTAACAGATACTAAAGAACGGACAATTCCTCTACCACGAGACCACGTCAATACCACTAATTAAGAAGTATAGTGCAAATCTATACAAAATAACAGATCTTCCAAAATACATATACATATTATATATCCACTGACTACCTACATATTAAATTCCTAACGGCGTTAGGTATCCATTCATTACACAATACATGTGTATATAAGTGTTGACAATTAGGTATGAACGCGTACGGCAACGCGTAACTTCAGCTGAACAAGCTACGCATTATAATATTTTACAATCGAGCTGCAACACATTCTAAACAAATTCCATTCGTGTTCCATTCGTTTTCGGTGACAACATTTTTGTGCACGACCATAAATTTCTGAACCAAAAGGAAATTAATCGGTTCGTTTCATTCATATTATTTACAAAAACGTTTTAGATTCTGGTCCTATTACCGTAATGGGATACATAATATACTTACGCAGCAGTCCGTTCTTGTCCAACGTTCTTTAGCGTATCCAGCATTAAAATGGCATGTTTGCGGTCCTCAAGCAGCATGTCGCGCTTCTCACTGTTCAGAGCTAAAGCCATCATCAGCCGGCCCGACTGGTAACGTTGTTCTTTCAACCTGAAAAATGCATTAACGTTACCGTAGCAAACACAATAAGTACAAATGCAAAGTAGATGGTACACTCAATTTAAATATGTAAAGCACCTAGGGAAAGGTTACCTTCAGAATAAAAGAAACAAGTTAAATGATTTGTTCACGCAGCACCCGAACATTAGCGTGGCACCAATGAGTTTTGCTACTGTAATCTCCTGTAAAAGTGGGTCGACGTGGCTATTAGTCAAACCATCGAACCATGTTGTTTTCAATTTTATTGTTCACCTATTTTACCTTGACGAATTGGGGACTACGTAAAGTGATAGTTTAGCGTAGCATTTCTAGGAAATATCTTTGTGGCTGTGGATAACTGCCTTAAAATAAGACAACAGAATCTCTGTGTTATATTCCATAACTTTAATTTTACATAGAAAATAACAGATAGAGAAAGTAACGTAACATCAGGCCTTTATTTTGACACGAGCCTAGTTTATGCAATATACAAGTTGTGTGATGACCATATCACAATCATCTTTCTAATATTATAAATTATGCGAAAGTTACGATGTTCGGATGTTTGTTAGTCAATCACGCCAAAACGGCTGGACGGATTTAGATGAAATATTTATCGACAGATCTAGGCACAGGCATAGGTCTACTCCGGAATAGAACATAGGCTACTTTTTATCAACATACCACGGGGACGAAGCCGCAAGCGGAAGCTAGTGAAGTGGAAAGTTAAATTATTACTATACTGCAACACTGAAAAACCGCTCGCCAAAATGGATGTTAAGTATAGTCTCTGTGAATACTAATAACCCTAGTTTGCGAGTGCTCGGTTAATAGAATTAAGTTCGGTCTCGATAAGCCTTTGTTCGAACTATTACCTATATGCAGTAACTGCTTCTGTTAGCTATAGAGAAAAACATATTGCAGTTTCACACAGCCTCGAAAATACCACAATTCTCCCTTTTATTCTAGATTCAGGTTTTATACATATAGGTTTTATTTATATATTGTATTCAGATTCTTACCTCAAGAGTATTTGATCAAATGAAGAAACAAGAGTAGCTTTTTGTAAACGTTTGCATATCCGCATAACTTCGTCGAGCTCCCAATGTATTGAATGATAACTGCTGACATCTTCATCTTCATATAAGTCGTCGAGGTTCGTGGCTTCCTATTAACACATTTATTGTACCTGGGTGAACCACTATACGTAACTCTGAGCGCTAATTAAACTTTGACGTTCCTTACAAATAAATAATGTCCACTCGAAACATTGGCGTTAGCAGATCATTAAGTATTTAAAGGAATAAAGAGAGGAGAGTAGTGTAAAACCAACTAAATTATATTTATGATAACAATTTAAAGGAGGTTTACATTATGTGTATCATGTTTACATCATAGATCAACATTGACTCTCGAAGACTGTCAATACTTGTTGTACTTACATATGTTAGGTATATGTAGGTATCAGACGGTAGATTGTTAATTGAATTAAACTCTAAATCTGGTACATTGTTTGATAAGTAAACACTATATATAAACGATAACTTAATTGGGAGTACAGTTATGATCAAATAGTAAGACTCAAGGTATTAAGACAAATAGACGCAACCAAAATGTTAATTATGTCCATATAAAACGGCTCAAACAATTAAATAGTTTTTTACCAAAAAGCGTCATAAAATGTCATGTAGATAATTTTAATCATAGTACACTATAAGCGAACTGAAAAGTGTTATAATTTTTTTTTTTTTCATTGAACTCGATAATTTCACTTTTATTTGTACGACTACGACTTTTAGGTTAAGTCGTCATTTGTGTACCTTCCGTATACTATACTATTATCCTTATGTTCTGCCTGTTCCTTTTTTGAAGCGAACATTACGATTTACAAATGAAAGTGAATATACAACAACGTATAAAGAAACTTTCAAAAGAAAATTAGATTAAAACTTCACCGGACTTGATTTCAATTGGAAAAACAAACAACCTTACCAGGTGTGGAGTTGTAATAATGTTTATTGAGAAATGAGAGAACTTGATGCTTTTTCAATGAGAGCGTGAACAAGTGAGCATCGGTGCGGTAAGTAAACCGATTACCTTGAACAAATATGTAGTTTGTTTTATTTACCTCCTTCCTTATGAGATTAGGAAATGAATCTGTCAAGTACGTGACTTCTCGGCGAGCCAGTTTCAGGGTCCTTTCTCGTTCCTTCATGTTGGCTTTGATCTCGCGTTCCAGTTTATTGTATTCATATTTTCTATCGTCAAGATATTCCATGGCTAGTTGACCCATTTCGGTAGCACCCATGAGACACTTGCTTTGTGCCCGGCAATCAAGTTTCAGCGCTTCTAACACAACGGTAAAGTATGATGAATCCTGTCGATAACAAATATGTCTTAGTGCAAGTTATATGTCAACAAATAGTGAGATCACTTGTAAATTAAATAAGTGAGGTATGAACGTTCCTGAGTTGAACACAAAGGAAAATTTTGATATTAAAAAAGGGATACAATAAAGAGCAAAGTGCAGTGAACAGTACAAGCCATAGTTGGCACCAACAAACATCCCACAGCCGTTATATTCTATTTTTACTCACCGTCCCAGCCTTTGAACCAGGCAACAAAATGATTGCGCTTCGTAAAAACAACTTACATTCTCTTTTATTAATTTTACTTGCATTCAATTAAAATAAAAAGCTAGGTGCATTATTTCTCCCATACACATTTTTTATGGTTGAAAGTACAAGTAAACGAAGCGTATAATTTAATTTCCTTTTATTTATATGCTTCGTTTATTTCACAGCAATATTTTTGTTGAGTGCCGTAAATGCAAACAAATTACAAGTATTCATATAAGTCCATTCTTAAAGGCAATTTAAAATAAAAATCGACGAACTGAAACAAATATCTTACAGAGATGATACTTACACAGATATCAGTATTAAATTTAGCTATAAATAAACGTTTTTATATAACGTGTTTCACATACATGGCAAAGTGGGAAAATTACACAAGCTTTATTTTAATTTTCCTGAGAAACGTATCTAAAATTGTGTGAATAATTTTCATTTGTTAAAAAAATATTACCTTCTTTAATATGTCGAGAATTTTCTTATACATGACTTTGATGGCAAGGGCAGCATTTTTCTTAATGTTGGCACGCTGCACGTAATTAGCCACCGCTTGCTCCTTCTTCTCCGGGGGTAACTTTCCGCCCACTTCATATAAGACTCGGTCTCTCATCTCAGCCGCCTCCAACTATTCGATGTCAAAACATTAGGCGTATAAATAACTTGATTAAAGTAAATAATCCCCTATATGATACAATACAAGAGCCTACCAAAGTTATCTGTCTATCTACATCAAATCGCTGCTTCGTTGGTATACGCAACATGACAGACATGGTTTTGCATTAATAATATCAGGTACATATAGGTTTATAATATCGGAATTGATTAGAATCGTTGCACGGTGTAAGATTTAATTTCTCCATAATAACGTTACTTGTACTATTAAAATTTGAGAACGTTGTTACCTACCCTTCGTAGACCTTTTGGTAAAAAGTGAATCAAAGAGAGTAATTTATAAAAGTTTACATTCCAGATTGTGTCTCAAATAAAGATTTTGAGTTATTTTATTTTCCTACATAAACCTTCGTTAAAGCAATGCTGCAGAAAAGTAATTTATTCCAACCACTGAAAATAAATTCAATAAAAGTATTCTCACTTCACCGAATATTCATATTTTTTATATATGTATATAATTTTATCAAAGGAGTATAATTTTTGGTTGTATAAAAATCTTATATATAAAAATGGATCGCAAAATATGTTGGTAAGCGCATAACTCAACAACGCCTGGACCAATTTTGCTAATTCTTTTTTTGTTGTGTTTGTTATAGTCAGGAGAAGGTTCTTCAAGAAAATATTGGAAAAGTAGAGGGGAAGATTAGGAAAAAGTGACCCTTTGATAGCGAGATAGTTTAACCCGTGCGAAGCGGGGGCGGGGCGCTAGTAATTTAATAAAGAGGAGTTTATTTATACATAATTGCCTTATTGTACTTATTTTCTTTTTTAAAGTTGGGGAGAGTTTTTTATGCATGTAGTAAATATTAAAATAATTTTATGTACTATATTTTATTATGAATAATGTCCTGTAAAAGTCGCAAGTTCAACAAGTAAAAAAATACGTGTAGCAAAGGTAAATTTATGAAGAGCTCCAGCTTTCATTTCGGACTGCCTACGCTCGGAACGACCCAAAATAATAACTTATTCATTCAACAGTTCCTGAAATAAACATTTGCAATGCACTGCCTGCTTCCCATTTATACTTTCAATAATAAATAATATCAAAACATTAATTTAATTTAGGATAATATCTCATTATTTTACTTTGCTTGTGTTTGCTGTAGTTTTATGCGTGGCTAAACAAAACGCAGTCTGTCAGAGGTAACTATTTCATAAATTATGGAACACAGAATATTTCCAAACCGAAGGTGTAAGGACTCGAGAACGTTTAGTTTTGTTAAAAATATAAACTAGTCTCGAGCGCTAGTTCTCAATGCACTTTGCAGCTTGCACTCGAGGTAAATCGGTTGATAATGAAACAAGTTTAAGTAAAAACTCAAGGTTTTACGATGTTTACAACTTAAAAACCGTATTGGCCGTTTTATAAGTACATACAAAACTACCATTAAACAGCACAAGCTGAAAATACAACTTAAAATAAAACTCATTACTTACTTAGGTACATTTTTGTTTGTCCTCAATACAATATATTATTATGTGTTTTAGTCTATAATAATATTTCTTGTAATAAACGGCCAAGCCAGGCATTTTGTCAAAGGCGTGGATAAGGAAGTGTACGTTTATACTTCCCCACATCCCCAACCCAAAAAAAGCCGATAACGATGTTGTTACTCCTCCGGTGTTGCGGGTGCTTGTTTATTCGCCTTCTCCCATAAAAAGTATTTACTCGTATTTAAGCAGCATAATGTATAACTTAAGTGGGTACCTGTGCCAGACGAAACTTCTCCATCTTCTTTTTCTTTGTGTACCTGATTCTGTCTAGTTGTTTTCTTTTATTAAAATTTTCCTGATGAATACTCTCCAGTACTTTCTGAAATAAAATCCATAATGTTCATTACCTGATAATTTGATGTCCGCTTAAAATATTTATGTAGTAGGTACACTGTAATCACATAATGTCCATTCTAACATTCCATACAATTAATTGATGAAATTTATGTAATGTAATACATTTTTCATTAAATACGCCTTTGTCTATATATTTTTGAAATAATGTGATATTATGGGATGTAATAGTAATATCTGTATTTATTTTGGTGGTATAAATCAACATTTTCATGTGAATCCATGTCAGCCATAATTATTAATAAGTGAACTGAGTTTATCCTCCACATGTTTGCGAGAGTTAAGGAAAAACTGAAGATGCCCTGGGGATCTACTGATCCGAGTACAATCATTCATCCGGGTATCAAGGTGAGGCAGACCGCAACAGCACGCCTACACTAAACGCCTCTCCATTTGTGGTTTATCGTGAATATTATTATTTTTTCATGTACGATGTATGTATTTTATTGTATTTATATATTTTTTCAAATTTCGTATCTATTATTGTAACACTTTTCTGCATCACCCTTACGGATAAATACTAGAGAATGCCTTTCGGCATTTAGTCTACCTTTATATGTACTACATAAACTACCTAACTAAAATAAAAGTATCATATATAGAAAATCCTATATACTAAAGTTATACTCAAGCTGGTTAATTTTATTTTCAGCATTGAATAGCACAAATGTGAACATAAACGTACCCACACTGAGAACTACCTACAAGACCACTTGATGCATGGTGAAAATGTTTTAAAACATGTTTCATTAAACAAAGAACAAAGTGTAACTCTGAAATATCCTAGTACTGGCGTAATTGCTTAGTTAGTACCCTCGCGGGTTCACCCTAATGAGTTGGCAAATACCCTTATAGGGGCTGGAGTACGGAGATTGAAGTACCTGCCTATAATCTTAGGGGCGACACCTTCTGTGGTAAAGTCGCAATACAAGGTTAAAAATGACAATCTTGTATTACGCAAATAATAAATAAGAAATATTTTCAGTACTGAGGCACTGAGGTTAATCCAAACACAAGAACTGCACGGTTGGCTTAGTGTCTCTGCAAGGTGTCGCGACCTCGATTCTCGCACAGAACAAAATTTTATGTGAGATACAAATTATTGTTCTGTGATTTTTTTTGTGATGTGTATAGGAGCTATATGAGAATTTTATAATAGGGTACGGTTTTATATAAAAAAAAATGCAAATCTACAACAGCTATATAGAGTTTATTGCTTGTAAGAAACAAATATATTGAATATATACTGACGTCAGCTTTGCTGTTCATGTAGGTAAGCTGAAGTCTCCTATGGTCTTGGAAGGCATTACGAAGGAATTGCCGATCACCATATACTGCGACCCCCAGCTCTTCCCGCTTCGCAGTGATTTCCTTACGAAGTTGACGAATGTCGCGCGAGTAGCGCTTCTTTTGTTTCGCCAGGTCGCCTTCATGAATCTTGCGATCTCGTTCTGGAAATAAATATACCACAATGTTACTTTACGCTTGTATTATATTTAATATTTTGTATTACATGGGTAGGTATTTATGTACAATGGTATCAATAATTAATAATAATAATAACGCATAGATCGCCATACGTGGGTTTCGATACAAAACCATTTAACAATTCCAAAAAACGGAGCATAGATTGACATTTGCAACAACTGCTTATTTACTTAAAGCTATATTATATTTTGATAACATAAAAATTATGACCAAGTTCATAATGTTCCTAATATTTATCACATGACGTGCGTGTGCCAATATTACATAACACCATAATATGTAAGAAACAAAATTTAAAAATAGAATGAAATATAATAAAGCTTCTTTAATTTTTCGGATTTCGGATTTTAGTGTCGGATGTTATTGCGGTATTTAGCTTTTTCGGTATTTTTCTACAGTACCAATGAGCGTAGATTGTTATTACGATGATTGTTCCTAACTCTCTGTAACATTACTGATAGGTGTACACACATTAATGGTCACCTTTGTCTACCGTCTCGGCTATAAAAGGCGTATTTTTTTAAAAAATACTTGAGTTACCGGTCTTCCAATTATGTACTTAAAATACCCTTCGTACAGCTGCGCAAAAGTAGGGACAAAAAGATCTGTTGCTACGTCGTAACCGCAGTGGTAGACCCCGCTAGGTAGCAGATTAGATTTACCACCATTATCATCAGTCATATGGGATCTTATCTTTTCAGTTCAAAGGAACTGAATTTAATCTAATATATGGGACTTTTCGGTATTGCTATCATTAATAATGTCTTTCAATATAATGAAAAATATTATTAAATCACGCAGTATTAGGTCCGCCTACGCACATGCTCAATTTATTAAGAAAACCATTTTTTGACCTTCGTGTACAAGGTAAATATTTAGAAAAATATCTGACTTTATGTCTAATGCACCAACGTGGTAAGGTTACATTTGGAATTGACGACTGTATTCAATTTCCGCTGGTAACAACTCCAGGCCCCCGGAGCTCGACTGATAAAAATATTACAGTAATGTCTTCACCATCTGCGGATTGCAGGCGAAACGACTTACAAAATTTAAAGCTAAAAATCCTAAAAATGTCTCGCATTGCTACTCTTTAGGTAAGAAAGTAAATACTTTCTGACATTTTTAACATTCCTTTGCCTGCATTCACTCATTTTTAGAACATTACAGAAAGGTTAACTTTTTAGGGAGGGATTTAGACAATTCGTTCACTCCATACAGCTGTATCATTAGTGAGCTGAGCGTTAATTTCGTCTGTCTGCTCTACACTAAATTGAATAAGAGACATTTCATTGAGTCGACTCTGAAACTGCGCGCCTAAGTTTCTATTCACCATTTCATATTCACGTCCATTTTGAATCTAGTGTGTACGCAATAATATGAATTACCACAAAAAAGCAAATTTGCAGGTCATAGTATATAAAGACTTCAAGAAGTTTTTATCGGCAAATATTTATAGAAGAAACTCACCATACAATTTTATAAGACCCCTGTACTGATTGATTTTGTCCTTGATAACCCAATTATCATCCTGCATCCCATGAATGCGCACCTTCGCGGCAGACAACATCTTGCTCAATAGTAAACTACCTATCAAAGTAAAAAATGTATAACAATAATAATAAGTACAATTATTTGCGATCAACAAATTATAGCAACACGAAAGTAATCTTTGTGACGTAAAAATCTATTTAATAAACAAGCGTCCGTCAAATCTATTGAAGAGGTTAATGATGTTTGAGGTTGTAAATCGGCTTAAAAGGTTTCACAATAAATTTTATTGTCTAAACCTGTGGTCTAAACCTAATTCTATAACCCCACCTAATTTATTTAGAATAGTTAAAGTACGTTTTTATAAGTCAATTTAATAGGTTTAAGTAGATTACAAGGCACGATGGGACTGACATGTACTTGGTATAAAGGCACTATAAAAGTTTCAAAAAAAAAAGAGAAAAAAATAATCAATTATCAATAAATATTCTGTCCAGCCCGCGAGGGTTGAAAATGCCCACTGTTGAGCAAAGGCCTCTTCTCAGACGGAGGTTAAGAAGAGCCATGCTTCGGCACGAATGGGCCCTCTCGACTGGAGTGAAACCACCATCGCGTTGTGTTTCGCCGTGTGAGTGAGGTTACCGGAGGCCCAATCCCCAAATCCCACCCCAATCCCTAAATCTACCAAATCCCTAATCCACAAAAGGTCGGCAACGCCCTCGTAACTCCTCTATTGTTGTGGGTGTCTATGGGCGGCACTAATTACTTACCATCAGGTAATCCGTCTGCTAGTTTGCCGACCTAACACATAAAAAATAATGTGTACTTTTCACTTTTCAAACCCGCACCGCAGAAGCGTTAGCCACCACGGCCATATCTTCTTAGCTTTAATTAATAATAAAGTAAGTACCTACTGAAAATCATTTTTACGCTAATTATAAATTCCACAATAAAATAATCACGATTCATGGAAGATATCTTCTAAATTTAACTAGGCAGAGCATAAGAGGAAAAGCCATATGAGTGTGAAATACACCAACACCCTATTTCATTCCTTATTGTCACAACGACGTGTATAGGTATTTATAACTTTAAAACTTCGTGAGCAGTATATCACAGACATGAGTAGTGAATCCTGGTCTCCACTGGTAGGGCAACTTCTCTATAGTATGAGAACATGAATGAGTTATACATGTACCTAGCTATCATACGCTTAACAAGGTAAGGCTACTTGACTCGAGAGCTCTGTTCAAAGCATTTAGATAAGTATAGGTGCAACGTTTGCTGTAAGTTTGTCTTTTCCAAAATTAAAATCAAATAAAACAATCGATTCTAAATCACCATCCCTAATTAAGATTTCTAATAAAGAGGCATACATAAGTATTACAAATTAACATCAACAACTAGTCTCACGAGCTACTTCCCTAACTATCAGGATCAAGATCCAATATCAAGTCACATTAATTCTATCAGTGAGTCGGAGGCAGCGCGATGCTAACTGATTGCGATAAGGAAGAACGGCTTGTTAGAGTTATTAGTCCGCGGCTCTTGCTAGTTCACTTCTAATTTAATTGCTACTTCAACCCTGAGAAAAGCTGCAGAAACTAAGTATCGAGGAACCTTGGTAAGTAATTCAGTTCAGTTGACGCTTAATGTCAATTAGCGTTAGCTTTGCTGTAGGGTGAATATAGACAGTTACGCCCCGGGAGATTATACCGTACACATTTAACGATACACTTAACTACGTTCCCAAAATTATTTGTTCACTATTAGGTATAATCCACGAAATTCTTCACAGTAATTTCAAAATCGGTTTTAGAGCCCGCAACGAGGAAAGCCTACTTTTTTACCTACCTTTACCTTTTTTACCTTTTTGGACACATCAACTTAGAACTGTTAAATAGGTATGTATCTTTAAAGATACTGGTAACTCTAAATTCAAATAAACTTAGTGTTAATTATAACTTTGTTCTTCTTTGAGTTTTTGATAAATAGGTATTTATTGACGCGGATAGTTAATGTTTCTATAACAACTTCTTTATTCCCCGAGGCTTGGAAACTTGCAACAGTGCATCCTTTACCGAAAATGAACAACCCTAGTAATCTTAAGGACTTAAGGCCAATCAGTATCTTACCCCTATTATCCAAGGTACTGGAAAGGGTAGTGAATGAGTAGTTGTCCAGGTTTCTCGAGGTTAGTGGCATCCTTCCAGAGCTGCAGTCGGGTTTTAGAAGGGGTCGTAGTACAGCAACAGCCTTGCTGGACGTAACCGATAATATTCTGTCTGCACAATGATGGATGGAATGGTCTAGTCGTAACTGTCTCATATTAAATCCATCAAAAACGAAGTATATGCTTTTTGGAACAGACGCTAAGTTGAACAAGGTTCCTAGTAATTATAACATATTGGTGGGTGGACAAGTCATTGAACGTGTACATGAAGCTAGGAACTTGGGTGTCATTATGGATCAGGCCCTCAGGTTCGAAACCCATGTTTCAAATTGTATGAAGAATTGTTTTTACTGCTTAAAAGTTCTGTACAAAATGCGTGCATATCTCAGTGAGGATTTGCGAGTGCAGCTGGCTGAAGCTTTGGTTTTGTCACTCTTATCACGAACAAAGAGGCTGATTCAGCGGGTTCAAAACGCGTGTGCACGTTTTTGCTTTAGGATACCTCCGAGAGGACACGTTACACCTTAATTTAACAATTACAGCCTACTAAAAATGAAGTCACGTCGTAAGGTCCACCAAGCTTGTCTTCTCTTTGGCGTCATAAAAAAGAAGTGCCCTTTGTACTTGCACTCAAAGTTGTCCTGGGTTTGTGCTCATCGAAGGCGGGAAGGTAGGCGGTGTGCACAGCATCTAGCAATACCTCAACATAAAACAGCAGCGTTTCGAGGCAGTTTTCGGTACGCAGCGTCCAAATGTTGGAATAATATACCACCTCCTATCAGAAACTCGCCAAGTATTAATAGCTTCAGACATAATCTCAAGGGTTTCATTTTAACTTCGCAAAAAGATAAGGCTGCAATTGGTAGTGATTTGTCTATTATTTAACTCAAGATAATTTAGTGTTAGTATTTAACAAAACAATGCAAAACACAGTTAAACGGACTGTCCTTTCCCAATGCCTTGCATTCTGTCATGTGTACTATGTATTTATTTTCATTTTTTTTATTATTTTATTTTATATTACTCTTTACATTTTATTATATTAATATTTATTCCATTTTTGTATCTTTATACTTATTATACATACATATTATATACTAATATATTTTTGTTTGTCTTTGTCTAGCCATAAAACGTTGCTACCATCCGTGCGTCACTGCAGGGGTGCCCACTGAAAATCAGTGCTGGGCGACTTGTATGCCTAGCTTACACTGCGTGGGTAACCTATTTAGCATGGGCATGTTGTAGCGTCTATTTTCTGTTTCATCTGTTTTAATTTTAACTCATGTTTGTCTTACTTCTACTGTCACACTTTTATTGTCTTTTTATGTGCTGCATCGTGCATGGTGCTGAATAAATGTCTTTTCTTTCTTTCTTTCTTTTCTTTCTATTGTTAACTTGTTTGGACCTATCTGTAAAATCTTTGTATTTATAAACATTTTATGTGTATAAAAAAAATTTTACAAAATAAAAAAACCGCCTTCAAAAAAAGTCAAGCAATAAAAGTTCCTACACTAAAAAGTAAAAAATAACAATTTGAATTAACTGTAAAAAAACTTAATTTATAGGTAAACTTATTTGACATTAATATTTTGCAAATATTCAAAATTTATTACTTATTTTTGGAGTCGGTGCCAGCATTTTGATGTTGAAACTTAATGTTAGTTAGGTTTTTAATATCCGGTGCCATTTTTCGTACATAATGCTTAAACATTTTCAATGTACTTAAAATGTTTTTGTAAGTACATATTTTTTATTTAAAAAAATGTGCAAATCGGACATTTTTTGTAGAGAAGTCTAATCTGTATTTATGTCTTAATTAATATACCTATATTTGAGTATGCAAATAGGTATTAAGTAGTTTTATAATTAAGTAAGAGGTAGTTTTTCAAGGGATTGTTGCCCATTTGTATTTCCTTGCATGGGCTGGCACCGACTCCAAAAATAAGTAATAAATTTTGAATATTTGCAAAATATTAATGTCAAATAAGTTTACCTATAAATTAAGTTTTTTTACAGTTAATTCAAATTGTTATTTTTTACTTTTTAGTGTAGGAACTTTTATTGCTTGACTTTTTTTGAAGGCGGTTTTTTTATTTTGTAAAATTTTTTTTTATTTGTAGCCGTTTAGTGTTTTTTTTTTTTATTATAATGTGTTATGGCAAAGAAGTCAATATCGTTCCTACATTTCTTTTGAAAAAGTTACCAATGTCATACTTATACGTAGAAATACATATCATAGTACATTGTTACTGTGTAATCGTTTTGATCTCGAGGAGAGATGATATGATGCATGAGATACTTATGACTTATAGTTAAAATAAAATAATAATCTTATCATAAATTCATATTAGTTCTCGCCAAATAACAAAAAACTAGATATTTTCATCAACAGACAGATAAAGTTCAAAGATACCAAATGCAATCTAATTTAGTATCTATGATTAAATACATTCGTACATAGAAAAAAGACCGATGCAATTATTGTTTTGTATCAATTGTAACCCATTAAATGAAGAATACTATTTTGTTATTACTAAGAACATTCATATATAGACAAGTTGGTAAAAATATAAAAGACCATCGCTATTGTAAATATACATTTATGACTCATTCAATGTATGAACCTTTTTTAAGTAAGTATTATCTACATATGTGCACACAAAAGAAACACAATTATTGTTTTGTACGACGCAATTATTGTTTTGTAACCCATTTAAAACGACTGTTTTGTTAAAAATGCCAATTAATTCTCTTAGCCTATTACCAGGAAAACGATAAGAACACAATGACGCATTTCACCACTAATGTGTAAACGCAGTCCACGTGGACTAATGCAAAATAGCCAATACTAGGCCAAACTCCGCCCCCAAAGGTGTGCGGTCCCGCTCTAGAACCTTTCGGCCCCATCGGCCATCTGTTCTACGAGCAATGTGCCGTGCCCACTGTCACTTAAGTTTGGCATTTCTTCGGGCTATGTCGGTGACGCTGGTTCTTCTGCGGATTTCTTCATTTCTGATTCGAACATGCACGGAAACTATGAGCATAGCCCTTTCCATTGCTCTTGACAGCTCTAATAAGCTTACACAATACTAGGCCCCATGCCAACCTTCCAGCTTCATCATCACATCAGTTCAATAGTACCTTACAGCCAAAGTGCATCTTATAACAATTCTAACAAGCCCAAACACGGCTAGGATATATTAATTAGGTACGCAGTTCCAGTGCCTACCTTCCAGCTCCATAATCATCATTAAATCAGTTCGATGATAACATTTCCAACATAATTATTTAAGATCATTGGTTTACAGTGCATTTTCATAGTTGCTGAACTACCTTGATTGTGATATCTATGCGAGTGTCAAGTTTCATCATCCATTTCTGATCTTCTTCACCAGTTCCACCTCATCAAACATTACTTTTTGACTGTAAATGCTTGAGTGCTCTATGAAAATATTAAAATTACTATATAGTTGCCTATAATATTTGAGGAGTTCCCTCGATTTCTCATGGATCCCATCATCAAAACTTGATTTTGAAAAGAATGGGACCAATCTGGAAGCATATCCTTTCAATCATAAAAAAAATTTTGCAAATCCGTCCATAAACGACGGAGTTCTGAGGTAACAAACATAAAAAAAAAAATAAAAAAAAAAAAAAAAAAAAAAATACAATCGAATTGAGAACCTCCTCCTTTTTTTGAAGTCGGTTAAAAATCCAAGCAAACCACTCAATTGTACCTGCTTATGAATGTGATATCTATTCTTTTCTTCCCAGGTCAAGTTCAAGTAAGTTTTGCAGGTCTAAACTGCGAAAACCAGCTATCAAACCAAGAAAACAAATTTTGTGTTAGAGGTCATTGCTACACGTAATTTTTTCAGTCGTTCTTATTTTTTTAATTATGAGGATAAGGGGGCATTGCGGTGATTAGGATGTTTTGCAGATGCAAGTTTTACGGCTTGTTGGAAAGGGCTTTAAAAATACTTTTATTGTTTTGTAAGTTAAATATGTAAAATTATACCTAGAATACACTATACAAAACAAACTGGCTGCAACTGAAATACAGATTGGAATACAAAGTTGTGTCAGAGTTCGACCATGATGTTGGCAACTGGTGCCTACAGATGTAACGCTTCGCAGACGGACCCGCCCGTGTCCCTACAGACTTGTTTCGCAAAGGGTTTACTTCGCGACTACAACAAATTGTGGGCTATTGTCGAACATCTTTGTAAACAGTTTAATTTTATAAATTCTTCAGTACCTATTCGTAGAAACATGTTTCGCTAAACTTCATATCAATACTTTTTATTAGACACTAGCTACTAACGCGCGGATTCACCCGCTGCTCGACTCCATTTAATCGTAGCGTGATGATTTATAGCCTTATAGCACTCAGTTACATTGGACCTATCTATCAGTGAAAGAATTATGGCAATCCGACCAGTGGTTCCAAAGATTACCCTCTACATAAAAACTTACAAATTTTACCTCTTTATATATTTTATTTTCTTTGATAATCATAAATATTTATTTCCTAGGTGCTTAAAAGCTTACCCATCAACATTGTATCGAAACTTAGTACGATTTCTGCGTTGGATTAGCGCAGCTTACTCTCTGGAGTAGCAGAAGGAAGCGCCTCAAGCGCCTGTAGATAGCGCCTTAATTAATAGCACTTGCACCCGCAACCCCGACTGGTCCTTTTCATTTTGACCGTGACATCATAGGCATGAAAATATTATGTTTTATAAAAATTGTATGTAGTAAATGGCGAATAAAAGCAAGTACAAAATATATATGTAAAAAATTTGGTAGTACCTTCATTATGTATCATATTCCTGATATGATACAGAGTTAAACCTCTTGAGAACTCGCTTCATCCAGAGAAGTACCAGTTACTACAATCAAACTCTTAACCCAGTTGCCAATAGAGACCCTCTTCAGATGTTGGTCGAGGGCATTAGCATACAGTCATAACAAAGATTTGTTCACAATAAGCAAACAAGCATTACCTTTGCAAAAAAAAAAGAATATATTTCTTGTAAAAATCTTAACAAAACGCCACTCATGGAATATTCTGATGCACCTAAATATCTACATACTCTTGTAGGGTGTTCCTGAATTTATAAATCAAATTGAACAAGGGCATAGAGAAAGTTATTTCCTTACTTTATCATCTGAAAATGTTGGTCCAATGCAAAGGTACTGCCATCATGCTTAAGAACCGATCGCAAACAAAAATCTATCGATATTTTTAAGGCTTCTTTAAGTGTGCACCTTATCTTTCATTTATATTTTTAGTCAATGAAATGATAAACAATTAATCATAAAAAACCATTATGTGACCTTTCGATCATTATTTGTAAATTTTTTACGAAAATTAGAGGTTAGGCATGAACCAGAAATGATTATCACAAGGTATCGTGGAGTTATTTTCGTTCAAGAGTTAGAGATTTTTAGTAACAAGGACGTCGTAATTTATCAACTTACCAGGTTACTAAATATTGTTTATTTCGGCTATAAAAAAAGTTATTTCGGTTTATGTACGTTGAAAGTTTTTAAATTCGAAATGTGGATTTTGATAATCTCGTGGGTTATGTTATTTGGACTCACTGGAATAAGGTGCAAGAAACATACTTTAAGACTTTAAGGTAAAAATTACAAATTTAAAGGTACAAATTAAAAGCGGTTGCAAAACTTAAAATGATACCACATCACATCACGCCTTTAATTTCCCGATGACATAGGCAGAAGTGCTCTTGTTAAATGCAGTAAACGCTTTTTAGGAGTTACGTTTTAAAACATTAGTCTGCTAACTCAAAGGGTCATGCTGATGGCGGCTATTGACCCGGTTAGGAGACCTTGCCAATCGTGTCAGCTGCCAATGTCAACATTTGCCAATATGATGGCCACGTCGTGCGGCGGCCCTCAGACAGGCCCTCTGGCGAGCCCCTGCACCATTTATGACCTATATTTGAAAATCATCATGTTTTAAAAGTAAGCAATAGGTAGATTTCTTGACACATTCTCAAGTAAATATGGAAATAAATAGATTGTAAGAAAAACAGTATTATTTCTTAAAATTTATTTCTTTTTCAATTTCATGCAAGAAAAAACTTACAACAAGTGTGTAACTTTTTGTCATAAAGCTAAACAAAAAGTTATGTAATGTATATAATTGATAAAACTCTATACTATTTATTATTTTACATCCGGATCACCAACTACCGAGCATAATGCCCTATGCATTCGGTCTTCACACCGCGTGCCCTGAGGACAGTTGCTGCATGTAGTTCCTACTTCGTAAATAGGAAAACCATCAATGTTTCCCGCGGGGCCATAATTACAAAAAGTGTAAGCCAAAATTTTGGATTCCTTTCGTTTTTTCTCTTTAATTTGAGATTGTAAAACACCACGATGTAAAGGCGATTCTTTAGGCTGATAATTGCGATCTGTGGTACCATAATCTTCAAATCTTGGAGTTGTTGACGTAGTTAGAAATCTGGTACGGCGAAGTAAATTTTGAGTTCGTGGAGAGGTGGTCGTCACATTTGTGTGACCGTACGATTGTCTAGTGGTCGCTCTTCTTTTGCGAAAAAGAGCACATGATGGTTTTTTTGCAGTGCAAAGAGCTTGTGAACAACCAAGTCGCCACGTAGAAGCCCAAGCTGCTGCTGAGTACCAATGAGCGTTACAGCCGCCAGGGGCACTGCAATTACTAAACCTAAAAGACCACACGTGCTCGGGGGGCAATACTCTCGAGCCCGAAAACCATGCACCCACTGCGTCTGACAGTAATTGAGCTTCGGTCACCCTGCTCACAACAGCCCGCACGTCCATATTTTGTAGCACATTAAACCTGATGGTATTCCTGCACTCGTCGTGTCGCTTCTGACACTGACGAGCCCATATCTCCGCCATGTGTTCGAGTTCATAATCCCAGTACATTTTACGCATGTTAGTAGCAGGAGGCTGCCCAGGCTCTAAACCCACAGCAATGTTGTCTCTGTGCCTGTTGTGTAATAGCAAGATTTGGTACCGCATCCATGCTGTCATGCCTGACGCATAAAGTCTCGGGCTCTGCTTATTAGCAGCAACACACAACGTATGCTGGTTTGCCATTGAGCAATCAGGATGAGTACAATAATTAAAATCTGCGTATTTTTTAGTTCCATTCTCACAGAACACATTCCTTAAAATTAAGCTACTACAAAATAAATAAATAATATACATATCGAAATTAAAATCTGTTATTATAAAATATTGAAAATGAATGTGAAAACTATAAAAGAATTCAAACGACGTATTTCATACAAGAATACCTGACGTTAGCTGACAGTTCCACGTTACATCAGAAGTCGATGATATTTACCAAGGAGAATAATTAACCTTGCATAGGGCTTGTAACCCCGAGATGTTCTCTTTTTAGTGATAATTTCACTTTTGGGAGCTGTATTAGACGACATTGTTTTTGGCCTCAAGTTACGGTACCATTTCTTCTAGATCCATCGTAGCTCCCTCTAACAGCTGGGTCATGTTAAACATCAGCTTAAGGTTTCAAACCTTTATGTCATTCCATTCCACATACTTTAAATCCCGCTACACAACTAGTATGCAGTGGAACAACCATTTGGTGAGGGATCCTATATTCTCATTTAGCTTCACTGAACTTTGTGACAGAACACTTAGCCGCTTCGAGAACGTTTTCGGTCGGTGGGCTTGTTATAAGGCCATAGTCAGCGAAAGCCTACGCCACTATAAAAGATTACACTACAACGAATTACATAAAAATAATCCCGACGAAATGAGAGTTGTTTGTCACAGGATAAGGGCAATTTACTAAATTGTTCTACCTAAACTTATGTATCGTAGTAGGTACCTACTTTGAAATTTTAATAGCAAAAACATCTCATTTTACTCAATGATTTTTACGCAAACAAGTTGAATTATTGGCAACTTTGGTGTCATCTTCTATCATTTGTCAATAATTTGCACTGATTACTTTTGGCATATTTTACTCTTTACTAATTTATGAAATTGTACATAAAAATTGAAATTATTTAATTATTTCAAGTTCTTAATAATCAAGTTTACGAAAGCAATGACTTATAAAGTGGCACAAATGATTTTACGAGGATTCATGTTAATATTGATGACTTTGGGTTTGTTTTACAGCTCAGAAACTCCAAATTTATCTTCGTTAAACCATTTCATAATGACCGGCGTATACGGCAGCTTCGTTATAGTTACATTAGGACTTGTGATGGAGGCTGGCCTAGAATTGTACAGCGATAAATTTATAGAGAGCACATTCATTGTACTGGCAATTATTTTGAATTCCATGGCCTCTGCTTTAGCTTTCTACGAATACTACGGAGACATTTTGCCGAGCGCTGAAACCATGAATAAGGGATTTGTGTCCTTAGTGAGCATTTGTATTTGCCTGACTGATTTGTTCGTTTTACATTGTACTACGTGATTAAATGTATTTAATATATAGTAACACTTATCCTTCCTCAAATAAGTATGTGACTTTGGACAAGTTGTGGAGCAATGTTATTGACGCCTATCCGCCTAATGTATCTACGTACCTACAGATAGAGAAATAGTAAAAGTTTACCAACCAATGCTACAGACTCGGAATTTTATATAGGTACTTAGCACAATCGAGAACCTGACAGAAAACCGGCGCGAAACAATGCTTGCTTTGTGTTTCACCGTATTATTGATGTTATTGGTTTTCCAATTTCTCTTCTCCTTCCCTCCATTCCCAATTCCTATTCTCCAACACCAAAATCCTTATGCCCTAAAATGCACTTACAACTCTTGGTTTTTTCTTATTTGGTGTTGTAGGTTTGGACAGGAAGGAGTTTCAAGCACTTACAGACTAGAAACCACCCTTCGTTCCTTTTCTAACTGGGGCCAAGGCTTGTAGGACTGACGGCCTATAAGGCAAAAAGGTTTGCGAATGGAAGCCACCGGTTTGCGAATGGTAGTTACCGGTAAGCATCGCCTAAGATGTCCACCTACAAGGTACACAAACTACTTAATAATAGTCGTGGGAAGAATACAGGTTGCTTCTGACCGGCCGATCTGAAAGTCTCCGGAGGAGTCCTATGTTCAGCACTAGACGACTTGCGGTTGATTAGATTATGGTACCTAATGATATTTCTTTCATTCTCCATAAAACCAAAATATTAATAAGTTTACCTACTTCTACACATTCGTCAGAATCAACTAACCGCTGGAGAAAAACCATATTTAACAATACTATTCAATGGTAGTTTGTCGCGCTCATACAGCGAACGGGAATCATTTTCAATTAAGTATTTCATTTATTTCCCCTCGTGACTACTTCCGCATGATATATTGATAAAACAGCCTATGTGTTAATCCATATTATACAACATTTCATTTAAATTTCGTTTTTCATAAAATGGACGTGAACAATCACAATAATCTGTGTGAATACAATCACAAATAGTTGTAAACAACTGAAAACATCGTAGTAGCCTGTGAGCAAGTGGAAATGCCATACGAATAAATAATAATATTGTGTAAGAAGGAGAAGAACATTATTTTTTTATAAATTATTATACAATAGCTTTCTGATTATACAATGACATGCATTGCTAGATAAATAAAAGTTTCAAAGAAAAAGAAGGGGTAGGCAACTATCAAATAACTGACTAAAAGCTCTTTATCCAATCTGAACGGTTTAAAAACACAACTACATACTCTATGACAAGTGCAAACTGTTTGACTTGGCAGTAAGTGACAGATGGTTGATTGACAGTCTGACTGTCTGACAGTACTTTACTTACCGTCTGAGACTAAACAAGTTTTATAGTTACTTTAGTTTTCTTGTGATATCGTTAATAATTCCTTAGATGGTATCAAAATGAGTTTACACAAAGCAAGGTAATAGCACTTACAGATAAAAAAATACAGTTTCAGTTCAATTATAATATAAAAATATGTTCACAACATTCTCCCCAGTTCTTGTTGACACATAAAAAAGGCGTATATTGTATTTATGTACCACTCGAAATCTTTTGTATTTGACATATTTACATATATAAATAATGCATATTAATTATATTAACTTTAAAAATATGAAGTTTCTAATTACCCAATATCGAGCATATATCGAAAAAAAATTATGAAAACTTTCAAAATACTTAATTATACAGAAAATAGGTATTTTTTTATTAATTTAATGGGAAAGTGAAAGTAACCCCAGTGGTAGGTAGTAAGGATTTCTGAATAAGCCAAATACTAATACAAGTTTAAAAAAAAATCAACCATAGTGTTATCTGTAGCACTAGCTTATTGATTGCATTTCCTTTCATAAAGACATTAAAGTGCATACAATTAGTATTCTTGGTGATTGATTACTTTTACAATTTGTTAAAGTTGACTACTGCTTCAAAATGTTTCAGGGGTAAGATATATTTTCCCTAAAGTAGAAAATTCTAAAGTGCACTTTCTAAAAACTTATCTCTCCAACTGAATCAGTCAATAAAATAAATGATTTGAAAGTAGGTATGAGTTAAAAATATTCAGATTAGCAGCAATTTTTACAAAACCCATTGCAAAATAAATATGTAGGTTTATGACCATTGACCTGTGACCACTCCCTGCTGGTAACTAATCAAGCACCAGCCATCTGATGGCCCTTGTAGAGTACCAACCAAACATGCATCAGTCACTCTTCATCTTTATTGCCATTGTTACTACCACTACCTCACATATTGGTACAGTTGTGGTTTGCCTACAAAACAAATGACTGACAATGAGTTAGCTTAACATCCATGTAAGACGAGGGCAGGCAGCTAGTTTATGTCTTAGCAAAATTTATTTATTGATTATACTACCCACCTAAGCACACAAAACTTAAGTTAGTTTTTATTATTCCAGAATAAAGGCATTTGAAGAAGTTTTGGAAGGAGATGTAGTTGATATTGATAAGTTGAGAAAATTAGCATTTAATGGTAAGTAATAATATAAGTGCAGTGCACCTAACAAATTATATTTATTTTTATTTTAAGTTACTTTTAATTTTTCTGTGTAAGCTTTAAGTAAGTAAAATGTTTCCGAATGTTTAACACAATACTGTCTACAAGTCTACAGCCATAGAGACATACAAACACCAACCTAATTGTGAGTTTGAAACTACATATTATTTTGACCATTGCTTAGGTGTGTAGGTACTAATGTAACTGTAATGTATGATCATCCTCTAATATTATAAACACCACAGGTTGTTAGTATGAATGTAGAGTTAAATTTTTGTTTCACATAAAAACTACTGAAAAGATTTGTTTGAAATGTGACTTAGAGATTGATTATAGTCTGGAATAACATATAGGACCTAGTAAATTGCAATAAAATCAATGAAAACATACATTTTTTCATTTGCAACAAATGAATCATGTTCAACCTAAAATGCTAGATGATTTTGAGGTGGATCATATCATCTAAAATAATATTTATTATGCTCAATTTTATATTGCAATTAGTACTATACCTCTGATTTTATTATTTTCAATACAGTACATTAAATGAATGTAATTGAGGTAAATGTAATTATGAATTATGTTTACCTTGTTTCGTTGTTCACTCCCTTGGACAGTTTCCCAGTTTGTAACCAACTAATGGAAGTATTTAGCCTATTTAAATAAAAATTAAAAGAGACACCAACCGTCAGTTGTCATATGTACAAGTCTTAGCCAAAGCAAAACTCATAATAATATACTCCTAATATAATACCTGTAAGTGACTTATAGGCTTGGCTACACAATAGTAAATAGGGCAATTACCAACCAAGACAATAGACAAGAAGATAAGGGTCTCTTGCATACTGAATTAATGATATCTTACAAATCCTACTGATAATGACACGCAAAACAGTTAAGCTGCTTTCTTGGTTGAATCCCTAATAATATTGTATAGTATATTCAACCAGCATTTTTCCTTACAAGTATCCAATCCATTTGTCATTTCGAATAATGTCCTTGTAACATTTACAGCTTAATGTAGAGCACATACCTATGCATACATAACTTATAATATGTTATGTTTGTTTTATTGAATTTTTGAGATGTTAAACAGCATGTTTGCTTTTTTCATGGAATGATTATAATAAATAGTTTTTAAAATACCCAACCTTAAAATATTAAAATATTTCTTTATTTTATTATGTCTAGTGGTTTGAACGCTGGGGTCGTAGTGTCTTTAAAATAGCTACGTGTCTTGTGTTAATTTTATTTTATTTAACTCAAAGACAGTGCAACTATTGCAAAATAAATCAACGACGTGTCATATTATTTATTCATCTTCCCATTCAATGGTAATAAAATTAACAGGGTAAAGAAGATGGACCATGAATAATATAAGATCACCCAATAAACTACTTACTTGTTTTAAATAAACGTGTTATTTTATTTACATAAACAAATAAAATATACACATACATAAGTTGTTAGAAATTTCATTAACAAAATAATCAAAATATACACACACATTATATAAAAACGTGTTATTTGTTGTAGGTATTCCTGATGAAAAAGGCCTAAGATCCTTAGTATGGAAAATATTGCTGCTGTACCTGCCTCATCAAAAAAGTACTTGGAAAACCACCCTAAATGAAAAAAGGCAAAATTACAAACATTATATAGGCAAGTGTTATAACCACACAAAATAGTTAATTTAATAAAATTGATATTATCATTGGTGTGATTAATCATTTCTAGATGAAATAATAGTATCTCCGGGAGGCCCCACCGATCACCCTTTGAACATCAGTCCTGACAGCTCTTGGAGTACCTACTTTAAGGACAATGAAGTGCTGTTACAGATTGACAAGGATGTCCGGCGGTTGTGCCCTGATATATCGTTTTTTCAATCTGCTACCGAATTTCCATGCGAGGAAGTAAGTTGTCAATAATATTTCGATTTGATTATTCAGAACACAATATCATCTTTTGCTTATGTTTAAACATTCCTTTTTATTTTTAGATAGTCAACAGCAATGGTGTTAAGAGATTGCATAAGAGAGTTGAACAGTCGGTCCTGAAATTTTCAACCTTAGAAAGACGAGGGCTTGGTGTGGCTAAGGTAAGTGAAATGATGACAACAGAGGTTGAATTGACATTTGACATTTTACAGGCTAACAATAAGTATTAAATTGCAATACAGACAGCTAACCTGTTATTCTTAAGGTCAAGGTAGTATATTAATTTTGGAATGATAATGTAACATTAAAATAAATATTGGCAATGACAACTTGTTTAATTATTCTTTCAGTTGAGCAATGAAATCCGTCGCTCGGACAGCACCCAGAGCGGAGACTACGCACCGCTGAACGAGGGCTGCGAGGCGCACTGGGAGGTAGTCGAACGAATGCTGTTCCTATATGCCAAGTTGAACCCTGGCCAGGGCTATGTGCAAGGAATGAACGAAATTATCGGCCCAATTTACCATACATTTGCCATTGACCCCGACAAAGAATTTAGAAGTATGTATATTACAAAAATTGCTAGTTTGTGTTTCTTGTCCCCCAAACTGATAAGATTTTTTCCACCTGCAGAACATGCTGAGGCTGATTGCTTCTTTTGCTTCACTAACTTAATGGCGGAGATACGCGACTTCTTTATACGCACCCTGGACGAGTCTTCCAGCGGCATCAACTATGTAATGGGTAGGCTCAGTGATTGCTTAAAGAAGACTGATCCTGCTGTTTGGAACTTGTTGGAAATACAAGAACTAAGACCACAATATTATAGTTTCCGGTAATCTGCTTTTACCAGTGCATTTTTATTGAAGTATACAGCTGTTAAATCTTTCCTCTTAATGATAAACAATCACATGTTTTTGTTTTTGTTCAGGTGGTTGACACTGTTGCTCTCTCAAGAATTCTCACTACCAGATGTTGAGCGCATTTGGGACTCCATGTTTGCAGATGAGAAGAGATTTGACTTCCTAATTTTTATCTGCTGTGCCATGATTTTGTAAGTATTTGATACCAACAGCTTTTCTCGAATAGGCCCGGATTCTGAAGAAAAACATTACAGCCTAAACCATACCATACGTTATAACAAAATATAGATAGCTGCATGTTCGTATTATTATCAATGCATCACAGCTCATGTAATTTTCTATTACAAAATTGATATAGACAAACATTTTTGTGAATTAATTTTCTGATCTCACTTTATAATTTATTTCAACAGGTTGGTCAGAAACGACTTGCTCAGTGGAGACTTTGCGTCCAATGTCAAATTACTTCAAAACTTTCCTCCGATGGATGTATCTCTGATCTTAAACAAAGCCGTAGAAATATCCAAGTTTCGGTAAATTACATTCTTTTAGTTATTTCTTAACGACTTTTGATATTTAAACGTTTTTAATCTAGAATATATACATATGCATTTACATCTTTGGCGTTCTTATTGTCAAAAAGACATTTGGATGTACCTTTTGGATCTATCGAATATTTTTTTATTTATTGTGTAAAATGTTGTATAATAAGGCCTATTGTTCGTTGTAAACCAATTTACTCCCGCATTACTATCAATCAATTACTAGAATAAGTACAATAATATTATTTATGTAGCTATAGTTTTAAATATAAATATAGTAAGCTTTGTAATGAGATGTAAAGAGTTATGAATCGTAGTGATGATCGTAACAATACCTATTTAACAAAGAGAGATGGAGATGTCGATGTTGGCATTTTGTCTCGAAAATGCATTTACGTACTGATTATATCTCATTGCAAAACATATTTCAATTGCAATTTAAATTGTTTGCCATAATTGTAGTTACCCCATCTACTTACAGTGTTCACTACATATAATTATTCGTCAATTCCATATTTCTGGTGTATCCATACAGTAGTCGTGTAAACATGTTAGAGCTTTACTTATATTTTTTCTGGATGCCTAAATGTGATAATCGTGAAAATATTGGAAAGCTAAAAACGTACCTAATGTAAGGTTCTTTAAGATTAATATAGTTTAAGATACTTTATACTTGTAACCTATAAGCCTGTATACTATGCGAGAGCTACCGATGGAAGTCCAATGCAGCGCACACTTTTGGGCCTATATATTTCACCAGGTCACCATGGTGGCACAGCCAGTTGTCGCTACCAACAAAATGAATTGGTTGCGTAACGTACGGTCGAGTGTACTACCAGTTCGTCTGCAAGTAGGTACAGATTTTACTGGCTGGTTACCACAAATTACTATACCGCTGTATTGTGTCTTACTTGCTCGGCCACCAGTGACGCTACAACTCTGTTTTTCTACGTACGCACAGCAATAGCGCAATTTCTACGAGATCTTGTATTGTCCCAGTGTGGTGTGGCGATTCTGGTGTCTAGCCTGGTAGTTACGGACACCAAATTGGCGCGACAGGTTTCGCCGCCATGGTGTCCCATTAAAGTATAGCCTTTACTATATGTTTCCTCGACCCCCTGGTTATGGCTAATCTCAAGTATTTGCTATGTCGTCCTTTATAAGGTGATTAATAATCATTTAAAGAGATCTGTAGTTTTGTCGACCCGATTGGCAAACTGTTCGTTTTATCTTCGCAAATACTGCTTAAAAATAATTATCGGAATCGGTCTAGCCGTTTACGCGTGATGCCATAACCAATGGAAATGGGGATTCAGTTTTGTACATACATATAGATTAGATAGGTATGTACTATTCCTAAAATTTCTCATGCTTTGACAACCCTTAAAATATACTCAATGATAATATGTCAGTTCGATTAATCAATTTTAGTGAGTAGATAAATAATAATATATGATATTAAAGTAATTTTAATGAAATTGTTAGTAAAATAATGAGCACCTACAATAACTTCCAAACGAGCTCTTCGTGTAACCAATTCGTATACGTACTTTTTATGTGTATATTTTCAAAGATTTTAGTAAGGTTAATTCGGACTCCTCTATTATAAAATTGCATCTCCAATATGCAGTACTGATATGGCTTATAGGTATGATAAAAATTGGAGTTTGTATTTCATGATATTGTATATTAATGGGCGTAGATAAGAGTAGGTATTTTTATGTGTGTAGGAATAGACGTTAAACGTAAATATTCTGATAATAAATACATATAGCCATGTATATATTTGTTGAAACGCGTAGGTAATGTTTAACAATACTACTTGATCTGATTGTGACGCGTATTCGTTCTTTTTTTCTTCATTCTTTCATTCTTTGTTCCCCATATTGCAAAGCTTAAGAGTGAAGGAAATTATTGGTTTGGTCTAGTATTTTAATTTGCCGTAAGCTACCAACTTATTAGAATCCATTCGTCAATACCCCTCCCTACCCTTCCCGCTTTTGATGGGCGGAGAATAAATACTTGAATATTAATCCAAAATAGACTCGGCTTATCAGATTTTTATTTGCCAATTGTTATTTGATCCAGGCATTCTCGCAATAACTCCCGCCGATGATAATATATTGTGAAATAGTACATTCGACTCATTTGTTATCATGTCAATTTATATTTCATGCCCTTTTTTTACTTTTGGGGGGAGAATTAGTCAATTGGCTCTCTCTCCCCGAGTGGGACAGGAGTGGGTGTCGGACTTTTACTGACTAAAACTCACTCCGATCCTTCTCCTGCTCCAGGCTTCCCCGGCTGAAGAGGTGTTGATGTTAGTCTATCATTTTGCTCTTAACACTCCAATTCTTTATTAAGTTTTAGTAAGTAATCGTGGTTTTTATCACCAAGCGTTCAATGTTACTAAGTAATCGCAATGACGACAAGTAATACATATCTAAACAAATACTTTTACCACAGGATTAAGGATTTAAAGTGTAATGAATTGCAATCGTAGTTTTCTAATCCTATCGTATTTTATATATTTTAACTATATGCGGACACTTGCTTATTGCTGTTTATACTCAGTAAGGGACGCCAGGTATTAAGAAGAAGGTATCCCTGTACATTAGAATTCATACATTCAGTTATATGGCGAAACTAATTAAATCGAATCGAATACGATTCCACAAAATAATGATGCATTTTCCCTTAGTATGATGAAAATAAAAAAGTAGTTATTGTCACTATCCGACACAAAATAGTACGACACAACCATGACACCTATCGCTGTGAATTGAATCAAATACTTCAGATTTTTATGTTTATCCAATTTTGTAAAATTAAATGAGCATAGTAATACATGTATTTGGCATTTGATTTACCTTACCCTTCCTCCATTTTCCATCACCAATAAAAAAACCACAATTCGCCTTTAAAGATTTAATATAAATAATTACATGTAATCAATTTGTACATATCCATTGACAATAATAGAAAGTAAAGATTTTATACAAATATAATGTCATTTTAGGTCTGTATCATAAATAACGGCTAAGTCATATATTAAAATGTTGGAAAATAAGAATTAATGAATGCGTTACATTATACTTTATATAATAAATTGTTTTATTTATTCGCATAAAGAGAATATTTATATAATAAATTTTTTGGTCGCCGCCCGGAATAATTTTTGATATTATATAGAACCTTAATGCCAGTATTTTACATATAAATAAAAGACTTTATTAAGGAACATATTTTCATCAATTGGAATCTTAAAGGGTGATGAAAACGGTATTTCTTATACATACATATAATTACACGAAGTTGTAAAGGAGTCATAACATTATTAGATATTACTTACTATATAATACTGCTTTTGGACGTGCAATCATTTGGATATTTAAAATATCAACTGAAGGCCACTTTATGTATTTAAATTTTAATATATAACTCGTAAGTTGTGTCATTGCACATCTTTATTTAAATTTCAACTTTATTATTTTGATTTCAACTTAAAATTGCAATAAAATATTGACAGATTGAAATAAGTTGCTTGTGGCAGTATTATATTAGATTTTATAGATGCACCAAAGTTTTGTCAAAAATGTTAAAAATTTAACTAAATTGTGTGACATTTTGCACTGTCAAAACACATCAAGTGTGTCAGTTAATATTTTGAAATAACTTGCTGATTGCACGTCCTACATATTCAGTAAAACCAAAACAAAACAGCATTCAACGGTCACTACAATGTTATCACTCCAATACTTTTTAAAATACAGGAATTATTATGAACATAATTTTGTGCCCGAATAAACGCACTTAAAAGTATGACGTAATAAAAATAAAAAATAACAAGATGTTAACAAGCACTTACAGAAATATGAGATTTAAAAATTTTGGGGCTGAATAGGAAAGCCTCCTCATTTTAAATAACAACTGTTATGGAAATCTCGACAGTAAATTCTAGAATGAGATGAACCACCTGCAGCTTGGCGATGTAGGAAATAGTAAGTCATCTAACATTCTAGTGCATACAGATATATTTTATCTATGGACATTTAACTATAGGTTAACAATTAACACCAATACATACTTGCAATGACACCACAAAGCTATATTGCGATAAATTGAAAGTGATATTTGCCAAGCCATGCTATAGGTGGACATTTAGACGGTATTAGAATATATCGACAATTGTTTCGTTGGTGTGAGCCAACTTAGCTACGTATTGGCCGCGATGACACGTCTGGTACATATAGGACAGATTGATGCGCACGTTTGCCCCCAGACACGTCCCGCGGTTTAGCTGCCTGCTGGATGAATTTCCCCTACGGCGACGCAATGTCGGCTTCAGTACTAAAATCACTCGCTGATGTTCTACAACCGCAATCCTAAGCTTCACCTACAAATACAAAAACCTAAACAAAGTCGAAAATAATAATTTATTTGTTTAAAAATAACGAAGTTTATAATGCTATTTCCTTCCTAATTACTTCTAGCTACCTTATAAACTCTATCCGTTTGGATCCTATCGATTTTATACACATTACTAACTATAACCGTTTTGCAACAGTTGTCCAGCCATTTGTTATTCGTATTTATATTACAAATCGATTGCATTTCGTTATTATTTTTTTGGTTTAGGATAAATGGCCCATCGGTATCATAATTCAGTGTAATAAATCTATTCCTCAGCAGAAACTAGCTTATATAATCAAATTCGTCATGTTTACTAAAATGACTCCACTATACTTTCCGCCAGCAAATACTATAAAACAATTGCGACAAGCTACTTCTGTTAGCTTACATAATTTCGTATAGTATTGGCTAGTAATCATCTTCACTAACCAGTTAACCCCAATATGCTTCCGAGTATAAATAGCAAATAAATACAGTCTTGTTGTTTCTGTCAAAGAAAAATGTAATTTTAAGTAGGCTCGTAATAATTACCTCAACTGCTTAGTAACCACAATATCGTCAAAATGTAAAACGGATCGTGTCGACACTACTGAATGCAAGCGTGGAATTATGAAGGAGGCTACTTTAATAATATAACAGTTAACATTTACCTACATTAATCTATAGGTTTTTTTACGGCTGCACACAAATGCTATTATTAAATCATTGCCAGACTTTCTTTACTGTTTGACAACTAGACTTGTAGTTAAGTATCGTTTTAGCTAATCAGCCAAATGTATTTATGATCATAATTTACCAATAGTATTTGTGCTAGCATAGAAACATGGCAAAATACATTTGTCGTAATATCTATAAATCTTCAATGATATAGTCGATACTTGGTTACCAACTTTGTATGGTTTATAATACTTTTTATAAATAAAGATATAAAAATATACATTTAAATTATGTATTTTAATATTATTCAACACAGAGTCAACTCTTAAAGTAACAGTTTTTAAATAAATGATTTTCAAAGTTATGATAATATTTCTCTATATTTCAATTGATTAAAATGAGCAAAAATGGAAATAACATTTTAGCTGCATATGTTTGATATAATCGAGCTTTACAATATCTCTCTTAGCTTAAGCTCTGTTAAATTTTTGTGAGATTCTCTAAAGTGATATTTTCTTTATGAAATGTATATTATTTGTTTGTGTTTCATGCGTATTATGCATTCACTCGTGTCCTTGTATGACAAACAATAATTTAGTAGCGTGATAACTAATTAACAGAGCTCCAACTCAATTTCTCTTCAGACTAGCTAATCGAAATAAATACTTTCATGTTTGTACCCTAAAAGTTTGATAAAAACTTACTACATAAAAATTATATCAAAAACATTAATTAAGATAACAGATACAATAAAACTGCTACCTACTAGGTATTCAAACAAGCACTGAAACTAATACGACAAATATGTATACGTTACACAAAAATAGCTGCCGTACTTGCAATGAATTTTGTAAATAGTAGGTACCATGAACCTATGTTTTGTAAATAGTACCTATAGGTTTAGAAATATTTCAAAGATGAACATAAGACATATGTTTAAAATGAAATACTTAGCACCGAGTAAACACCAAGGTTGGCAGTACGCCATCATAAAGCATAGCGTGTTACCGGTGTGAAGCGAAGAAGAGACCGCAGGGGCTCGTTTACTGGATGGCGCAGCACTTGCACTTGGGCTTCTTCCTGATGGTCACGTGCTCCGGCTGCTGCGGCTCCTGCGGCGGCGAGCGCTGCACCTCCACTTGCCCAGCGCGCACCTCAGCCACGGCCGCGCCGTTCTTAGTGCCGTTCATCGCCTTTGGAGTGCTCTGCTGCTCGGGGCTCGCTAACTTCGTCTGCGGCGATGGCGGTGCATTAGCCTGGAATCGATAACATATAATGTTCTAAAGCACTGCTGAATTACATTAATACGAGGAAAGGTCAGACAAAATTAGAGATTCATAGTTACTTTTAGCTAAATTTTTATGACTCAAAAAGCCATTAGACTACCACATATAGGGTCGAAGTAAAGTCAAGCGCAATAAGATACTGTAGCCTCGGTCTCAAACAGGAGAATTAATGGGGTGGATTTTAGTCCAAGAGTCTGACACTCCCTCTCGTCTCAACCTGAACCAGAGAAAACTTTTGAGGATATTGCCCCCTCAAAAACAAAAGGTCAAAGCATCATTGTTGTCACAGTGGTAAGTTGAATGTGGCACCTTTTATTTAAATATTCTTGAATTAAGGACTAACGTATTACTATCTATTATTTGAATGTATTATTACGTTAACATTATTCGCTTGCACTTTTTCTTCCTTTTCGTCGCATGCAGCTAGCTGCGGGACTGCAGCAGGAGGTGGTGTTGGGGTGATCGGCTTGCCGCCCTTGATCAGAGACACAATCTCGTCGGCCTCGCGACTCAGATCACCATCCGGACGGAACGGGTTGTCCCACCCGCTCTCCGTGCTGTAATCACAACCATACACCATATTCATTTACAACATACCATACATTGAACGTACAACAATAGCAGCATGATTACGTTCGAATAATAGGTACGACGCCATCCTACAGATGCTATCGATGCATTCTCATTCAGATTACCTAGACGCATTGCATATGAATACATCAGCAGATTGATCATCCATTATGAATGCTTCCAACCAACCATGAAATCTAAAACTTTGTCCAGGTCAATTGAAATGCATAAAATTTATATCTTGCCTTCAATTTTTCGGAATTACATTCGACATATTTTGTAATGTGGGGTAATTCGTAACCAGAAAAATACTTTTTGACCATATAAGTCTACTTTTATTAAAATAAATCAATTTTGTCACAATTTTAGTAACAATTATCATCGTTATTACTGTGATCATATAATAACAAGCATTGTCAATATTGACATTATAATATATTATACAAACAATGTCTTATGGTTTTGATTAAATAGTTATTACTTTATTTACCTTACTTAAGGTAAGCCTAGTTAATTGTCTAGGAAAAAATCAACATGGTTTCCTGTTAAAATTACAATAATAATGTGCAACGGAAGTTGAGCAATAATAATGTAGGTTCGAAAATACAGTAAACCACCATACCATTATTGTAGCTCTAAATGTGTGTACAATTATGTTGTGTTTGCATTGGCATGTGTGTTGCAGGGTGACATCATTGCTATGTGTATAGACTCTATTATGTATGTACACAACAATAACAGCGCGAATAAATTACTTCTCGGGTGGACCATTTACATTGATTTTTCAAGTACTTATTTGTTATTTTACATTACAATACCATATATCTGATAAAAGCAATAGATTCTCAAAGATATTCTTAAAATAGACAGAGATATCAGTGCTTAGAAGTAATACATAACAAGTAGTTTCAATAATGCATGAATGGTAGGTCCTACTTAATGCAAGAATCTCTTTATGAATT